TGTTCACCCGCACCGCCACATCCCAGTGAGTCCCAATTGGACACAAGACCGACCTCTTCCTTCTCCTCTGCAGAACCACATCCAAATTCAGCCCTGAAGTTGTCTTCTTTAACTTTTCCCCAACAATCTGCAGAAACATGGGTCAGGTAACCTCCCATTTGAAATGTTGACAACCTCAGCTTCCTAATACAATAAAAGCCTGCTTTCTATCTTTTTCCTGCCAAAGGCATCATGAATGATTGATTGATTGATTTAAAGAAATTAAAACATGTCACATAATTTTATAAGCAACTTAACCACCCGTATTGGAGCCTGGATACCTGACGTAAAGATTCCAGCTTTATTTTATTTAATTTATTTATTTGAGATGGAGTTTTACTCTTGTTGCTCAGGCTGGAGTACAATGGCACTATCTTGGCTCACTGCAACCTCCAGCTCCTGGGTTCAAGAGATTCTCCTGCCTCAGCCTCCAGAGTAGCTAAGATTACAGGCACGTGCTTCCATGCCCTAATTTTGCATTTTTAGTAGAGATGGGGTTTCCCCATGTTGGTCAGGCTGGTCTCAAACTCCTGATCTCAGGTGATCCACCTGCCTCCGCCTCCCAAAGTGCTGGGATTACAGGAGTGAGCCACTGCACCTGGCAGATTCCAGCTTTAAATATGGAAATATATATTTTTCAATACCAAAATCAATATAAGATATGAAAAAGATGAATAAAGAGCAGAAACAACTTTTTTCCCTTTTAAATGGGAGAACTTGTTTAAGAACTTGTTTCTGGAGCTGAAGATTTTTCATGGTTTTATCTATGACTTAAAATAGGAGAAAAAACACAAAAAGTAGGTATAGAAAAGTAACCATGAATGCAGTCAAGGGCACTAGGTCAACGGGTTGGAAGTTGACTCTTCCCCTTGACATGTGTACAGCCAAATCTAGAACCCTCCCCTCATTCTTATCTGCTCTCAGGCACTCAGAGCCCTCTAGACCCTGGTCCAATTCATCAGCAGCTTCTTCTCAACTTGCACTTCACACCTGCTCCACTTGATGAACCCCATATTCTTCCTTCCCAAGACAAAGCTCTTTTCCCTCCCTGCTCTACCTGCTCCTCCTGGAACAGCCTCACTCCCTGGTCCTCTTGAATATAAGTCCCCTGAGGACAAAAATCTTACATCCTCACTGATGGATCCCAAACTCCTAGAACAGTGCCAGGCATACGATAGATGGTTATTAAATATTTGGAGACTGAATGGCCAACCCAGAAAACTCCTATGTAAGCTTCAAAACCTCAATCAAATGGAGTCTGCTTTTTGTGCTACCCTCGGCCCCCTGGCAATGTCCGGCACTGTGGTTTCTGTTTCCACACTGCTTTGTGTTGACTCCTCTTAGTGCACATTTTACATGTCTGCAAATCAAGAGGCATCTCGGCCTCTGGAGCAGACAGACCCCGCTGCCAGTCCTGCTTCTGACACTTCATTTATTTATTCAACTCACTCGTTCCACAAAGATTTACTGGGCATCTACCTCTATTGTACCAACCATTGAGAATTAAATGGTGAGCAAAGGCAGATTAGCACCTGCTCCTCATGTACCTTCCCCCAGGCATGCCCATTAGCCTTGCAGTGCCTCTGTTTCCTCAGCTGTGACACAGGTAATGGCCTCTTCCTGAGAGGATTGTTGAGCAGATTAAATTGGGAGGTGCAATAAGGCACTCAGTGCATGGTAGGTGCTCAGTAGATTTTGCCCTGTGGAGACTGAGCTCCTCCTCAGGGCCAAGGAAGGATTCCCATTTCTTTCCTCTTTCCTTGGGCACAGAGGAGGTAGCGGTAGATGCTAGCTGGTAATGAGGATGGTGGAGATGCACTTGGTGCCTGTCTCTCTGTGGCTGTCTCTGGATACACACACCTAACACAGACACACAGACCCACACATGCATACAGAGAGAGAGAGACACAGAGAGAGAGAGAAAGAGTCAGATCCAGCCTGTCCTTACCACACTAGCTCTTCCAAGGCCCAGAACCATCCTTCACCTCTGAGTGGGCCAGTGCTAGGGCCAAACAAGAGTCTCTAGCACATTGGGACAAAAACCCAGGATTCCTAGGCCTGGGAAGGTGCAGGATTGACCTGGGGGCACAGTATGCCCCATCCCTGACCCAGGTGGCTAAGGCTCCAGAGATGGTACACTTTCACCCAATTTCTCAGTATCTCTGGGGACAGTGACGCAGAGCAGTTTAAAAAATTACCCCCCACCCTGCGATCCACCCCCGCACCTATGCCTCTGTCTGGCCATTCACACTCCAATGCATGACATGTGACCAGATGGCCACAGGCCCGCTCCCTTGAGCAAACAGCAGTGCACGTGAGCAGTGTCTGGCCTCAGGCTTGGACATGGCCAGCTGGCCACTCAGGACTCTTGCCCCACTCTGCAGGAGTGGAGGGGTAGATGGAGCACTGGGACATCTGGTTTCTAGCCCTAAGCTCAACCTCAAGGCAAGGTCTGGCGTGTATCCTTTTTTGTCTCTAGGTCTCCTCAGTTTCCCTATATGTATCAGGCAGGGTCTGGCTGGCTGGTTGGAGAAGTAAGCCTGAGAGCCTTTTTAGCCCCTGTGTTTTTCTATCATATTCTTGGGTTCAGGGCAGAAATAAATGTATGGGCCTTTCAGATTTAGATTCTGGGCACCTTGGGCACCTGCCATAGGCCATTCTCAGCAATTGCTGAGATCATCTCCAAACTTCTTTCATTCTGAGTTTCAACCTCTCCAACCTGCTGTTTTCCTCAATTCCCTCTAAGACTTTTAATGTTCTTAGGAACCTTCCAGTTGCTGTGGAAGAGTTTGAAGAGATGAGGGTGGTGAGAACCCTCTGGACCAAAATGGAGCAGTGTCTCACATCTAGGAGTTGGGGTCGAGGCCTCGGGCGGTGTGGTTAGACGGGCATGGTCGAATTCAAAGGGTGCAGATTACATAATTTTATTTGAAATTATTATATAATTTCATATTTGGAAAGATTTGAAAATGACAAACCTCAGAAAATAATGAGTGTCAAGGCTTTCTTTGCTGATTGGGACATTGCAGAAGATAGCTTGAAAGGGGCAACAGCTTAAAATTAACCTGAACCATTGAAATTGCTGGGTGATTTTTTTTTCTTAGGTCACACATGGTCAAATATTGCCGTTTCCTGTGTTTCACCTTAATATTTTGGGGTTATCAGAAGAGCACATGAGCAACTGAGAACTACGAGTGTTTTGTGAGGCGGGAACGCTCACATGTGGCAATGATTGGAGAAAGAGAAGGCAGCCAAGGAAACGGAGAAGAAACAGTCAGAGATGAGAAGGAAGCCAGGGGGCTCCAAGAAGCAGAGGTGGTCAGCTGGCCAGCAGTTTGGGACTGGGGCTAGATGGGGACCTAGGCTGGGATACCCCATCCATTTCTACCCGGCAGCCCTGTCCAGTGTCTCCTCTTACCACTCTGCCTCAGTGTCTTCGTTCCAGCCACACCAGATATCTGTTGTGTCCTTGAATGCCTCATGCATTCTCTCAACCCAGCCTCCCCTCTGGCTGTTCTCTCTTCCTGCAGTTCTTGTCTCTGCCCCTTCCACATCAGATGGGTACTGCCTCTGTTGTTCAGCCCTCTGATGGTCACCTTCTTAGGCCTGTCCTGCTCCCTTTACCAGACATGGTTAGATGACCCTAAGGCTGTGCGTCTCCATTTTTAACTTAAAATTTCTTATGTGATGTCTGTCTTCCCCACTGGACTGTGAGCTCCTGTGGGCAAGGCTGGTGTCCATTTTGTTTATTGCCATATCTCCATGCCTAGCACAGTGCCTGGCATAAGGTAGCAATGCAATAACTACTAATAAACCAACAGATGGGACACCAAAATTATCAGGACGCTGAAGTCCAAGTCTCTAGCAAGCCTGGGTTCTTACTCAGCCAAAATATCTGGGTCAGATATGACTTTCTGAATGGTCCATGCGGAGCTTCTGACTTTGAAAATCAATGTGCATTTCCATCAACAAGTTGAGAGCATTGAGAAATGAGGAGCTGTAGGGTCAGATGGTGTTCTGATTATCTCTCTTTTGCTGCAGAGCAAACCACCCCACAACTTGCTGGCATAAAACAACCCCCCTTTCAGTACACTCACAAGTTCAGTGGGTCAGAAATTAGGAAAGGTCACAGAAGAGACAGCTCATCTCTGCTTCATGACATCTGGGCACCTCACCTGGGATGACTTGAATGGCTGGGACTGGGGAATCCACTTTCGAGATGGCTTCTTCATTCTTCTTTCTGGTGCCTGGGTTGGGCTGGTTGAAGACGGGGCTCACATGCAACTGTCAGCTGGAACACCTACATATAGCTTCCAGCATTGTGGTCTCAGGTTAGTAGAGCATGAGAGTTTCTTAATAGCCATCTCCTGACTCTCAGTACAATTGCTCCATTAAATAAGGTAGATGCCTCATGGCATGTCATGATGTAGCCTAGGAAATCATATAGTGTCACTTCTGTACTCTATTGGTCAAAGCAGTCATAAGTCCCTCTGGTTTGAGGGGACAGATCATAGGCCCACATCCTACTAGGAATAGTGTCACAGGATTTATGGCTATGTTTTAAAATTGCCGTAGAAGGTTTATGCTGCTGTAGATCTCTGGGATCAGGCCTGTGAGCAGATGCTGAACTGCATGACCAAATACATTTTCCCCTCAACTCTTAGCATTAGAAAAGCACTTTAAAATCTTCCAAGTCACCAGGTGTGGTGGCTCACACCTGTAATCCCAGGATTTTGGGAGGCCGAGGTGGGTGGATCACCTGGGGTCAGGAGTTTGAGACTACCCTGGCTAATATGGTGAAACCCCGTCTCTCTAAAAATACAAAAAAATTAGCTAGATGTGGTAGCGCATGCCTGTTGTCCCAGCTACTCTGGAGGCTGAGGCAGGAGAATCGCTTGAACCTGGGAGGAGGAGGTTGCAGTGAGTGGAGATAGCACCATTGTATTTTGGCCTGGGCAACAAGAGCAAAACTCTCTCAAATAATAATAATAACAATAATAAATAAAAAAATTCTTCCAGGTAGAGGAGGAAGGAGACTTGTAGCTTTGTAGGCCTGGGTTCAAATCTTGCTTCTATCACTTCGTGTCCATGGGGTCTTGGGCAAGTCATTTAACTCATCTGAGTCTCAGTTTCCTTACCTGAATAGTGGAGGCAGCAGTGATGCCATAGTGAGGATTTGATGAGCCAGTAAAGGAAGATCTGATGCCTGCTGAATGCTTATAACAGTTACCTTTGTGATCATCAATGCTCTTTCATGTAAAATGAGAATAAAAATAGAGACCTCACAAAAACTGTCCTCCTGGCTCTAGGCCATCTGTGAATAGGGGAAATTCAATTCTTGTTCTTGGGCCAGTCACTCGGCAAGAATCTGCAGACACAGAGATGAATGCAACAGCGCGGTCAGCCCTTGGATCTCCACATCTAGTGGACAGGGGAGGCATAGCGAGGCTGAGGGAGGTGGTAGGGGGCAGAGCATTAATTCCCGTGGAATGGTCATCAGTGCACTCATGGCATTCTTGATGGGGGTCTCTGGACCATGCCAAGGGGTCTTCTTTGGTCCATTCTTAGCCAACATATTTATCATGGACTTAGTTAAAGTCTGACAAAGTCTTGCTGACTTTGTTGGAAAAGACCAAAGATGGGAAAAACCCAGTTTCATAAGACCTCATGTGAAAGAGACACGGCTATGACTTTTAGCCGGCTCCCAATATTACCTACATTTTTTCAGTATTATGTTAAGAGCTTTTCATGTATCGTTCCATTTAATCATTCCAGTAGCTTTATGAGGTAGGTGCCTGTATTGTCTTCACTTTATGGGTAGACACTGAGACTCAGAGAAACCAAATGGTTTGCCCAGGGCCACATGCTGTGTTCCAGCTGCCAAAATGCTAATGCAACCCCCGACTGCATGAATAGAAGAAAGTGTCCTGAGCATGGGATGAGACACGTTGTGTTCTGCACTGCCCAGATCACCCTCAGGGGTGGCTCTCATTTAATTCAGAGGTACTGGAGACCTTCCAGTGGAGGGAAAGAGTGAGACCTTGGAGACATAGGACCTCACAGTCATGTTCTGTGAGGGAACACGCGCCTGATGTGGGAGAGAGAAAGCTGACATCAGGACCACTCCTTCATATTTCCAAGAGGCTGCTGTGGGGCAAAGAGAGCTCCATGTTTCCTGTGAGCATGGTCCTGTGTTAGCCATTTAGAGCTGTTTGAAAATCTATCTGGTTCCCTTGTGATGTAGTGAGCCTCCTGTCACTAGAGGTGTTCAAACAGGTTAGAAGTGCCATTGAAGGCAGGCCTGTAGTGGATGGGCTGCTGGACATGTGTAACGCCTCTAGCACAATGCCTGGCATAGGGTAGGTGCGTGCATCAGGGAACCCTTAAGGTTTAGGAGTAAACCTGGCTTCTCTTAAAAATCATTTTTTTTTTTTTTTTACATCCAGGCAGCTCCTTATATACTTAGGAGGTAAGAATCATTTTAATGATGACCAAACATATTACATACACAATTTCATTAGAATTTTGTAACAATGCTATTAATTGTGCCTACCTTATGGGGTTATTATAGTTGAGGAAACTATAGCACAGAGAGATTGAGCAACTTGCCCAAGGCCACACAGTAATTGGCAGATCTGGGATTTGAATCCAGGCCTCTGGCTTTCCCTACGGTTGTCCTTGCCCATGGATCTTCCAGGGGCAAGTTTGACCCTCGAAGTCTCTGGCCAACGTTTATGATAATGGAAGGTGTTCCAAGTTTCTTCTCATGGCTCTGCCTCTGGGATCTTTGGATTTACTAGCTGGAAAAGTGAGGACACGTGATAGAATCCCTCAACCAGTGGTTGGCTGGTGGACCCACCCCAAGCAGGACATAATTTTGATTCACCCAATGTGCCTGTGTAGGGAATGCAGCCATAAACAAAATGGAAGAGATGCCTGTCTGCCTGAAGCTTATTTTCTTGTTGAAGAGACAGCAGGGAAGAGGCAACTGCAGTGTGGGCTGGTGGGGCTGTGAGTAGAGCAGATATCAGGGCCCCACTTATCTCCCTTTGGACCTCACTGTTGTAGTCCTGACTTACCCTTGACCACTTAGTCCCTGCCCAGGGCCTTTCTCTCCCTGCCCAAGTCCACTGTGCCTACACTTAAGGCAAGCTGGAAAATGGACGTCCATTGGGAATAGCTCCAACCAATGATTGATGGGACTGGTGGATTAATACCATGGCTCCTTCCCTCTAGGCTGAGGTAACTCGGAGCTGTGTGTTCTACACTGAACTCTTAGCTGAAGTTGCCCATGGTGGGAACTTGCCTGATAATATCCTTTATTGGCTGCCTTCCTGTCCCTGCCTCATTTCTCATTTCCCTGCCAGCAGATGCTGCGATCGCCTTCTACATACACTACCTTCAATCTTCATTGTAGACTTGGCTTCTGGAGGGACCCAAATGACCGTGGCATAGGACAAAACTCAGGGGCTCTGTGAGCCTAGAAGAGGAGGCGCTGAGCCCGGCCAGGACAGAGGTCCACAGATGATCCCCGAAGGAAAAGAAGTCTAAATGGAGACCTCAAGGGTGAGTGGGAGTTAGTCGGCTAAAACGTGGTGAGCAGAGAGGGAAGAGGGACAAGTGTTCCAGCAGGGGGACTGGCATTTGAGGAAGCTCAGAGGCAAGGAAGGGTGGTGTGTCTGTGATGGACCGTTACAGCTGGTCTGTGACAGTGGAGGGTGGGGGATTGTGAGAGATGAGGCAGACCCCAGACTTGGAGGCCACAGGGAATGATTTGTATTTTATTCTAAGAGTCCCCAGGGACAACTGAAAGATTGTTGGCAAAGAAGTGCCAGCCAGTGGGCCAGGTAAGAGGACCTGGGAGCTGGGAGGGTATCTGAGGAGGCCAGGCCCCACAGTGCCTCCTGGGTCTGCTTTCAAAGCCCCTCAGAGAGCAAGGAGAAAGAGGCCCTTCTGGGAAGATTCCTGGGTGCCTTTCAAGGAACTTCCTCTTGCTGCTAAGTCCCCCTCGCTGGAGCCCATAAAACAGGGCACTGAAAGTAATTACAGGCTGGGAGAGGCCAGGGCAAGGACGCTGGGGACGTGCAGGGGGCAGGGAGGCAGACAGGAGCCGTCATGCTGGCCTGGCTGCCAGGGAGGGAGTGTGCAGACACCAAAGCCCCCATAAAGTCGCCCAGAGTAGGCCCTTTTACAGGCATTCTGGGCTGGGGCATGACATCACCGGGAGCCAATCAGAGGCTCCCCCAAGCCCCTTTTTCTTCTCTGGGGCCTGTTTCTGTGGTTATTGAGGTACATTCTTGGTGAAGGGGGTGTTTTCTTTTGGAATGCTTGAACCCAATAGGTTTTGCAGCCGCTGGCTCGGCCAGTCCTCCTTCAGGCAAAGTCAGCTAACCGTATGTTCCCTTTCAAGACAGAAGGGCCTCCCAGGCAGCCTGAATGGGCTGCTGGGAGTTCCCTTCAAGCCACAGCTTCAAACTTCTTTTAGTGAATCAACTTCTTTTAAACTACATCCATTTGAGAAAAATAATCAACATGAATTGAGAAACACAACAACAAACAGGCTATGGAGTAGAGTCGTGGATTTGAATCCTGGCTCCTCTCCTTACCACCTGTGTTATTCCTGGACAAGCCTCAGTTTTCCCATCTGTAAAATGGGGATGATACAATCCACTTTGCAGGGTTGTTGAGCACTGATTTTTTTTTTTGATGGAGTTTTGTTCTTGTTGCCCAGGCTGGAGGTGCAATGGCACAATCTTGGCTCACCGCAACCTCCACCTCCCAGGTTCAAGCGATTCTCCTGCTTCAGTCTCCCGAGTAGCTGAGATTACAGGCATGCACCACCACGCCTGGCTAATTCTTGTATTTTTAGTAGAGATGGGGTTTTACCTTGTTGGCCAGGCTGGTCTCGAACTCCTGACCTCAGGTGATCTGCCTGCCTCGGCCTCCCAAAGTGCTGGGATTACACGCATGAGCCACCGTGCCTGGCCCATGAGGACCAAATTTAATAGATGGGTATGAAGTGGTCAACTACCATCAGCCATTGTTTTGACAAATCCATTCTTCCTCACAGCACTGGACTTAAAGACTTAAAAAGGCTTGCCAGGCCTGTCTATTTCCCACACTATATTTATGGGTGAAGGATCTTAAGGAACATGGAAACAAGGCCCAGACAGGCTGAGGGTCTTGTGAAAGCTGCTGTGTCTAATTAGGCACTGTTTGTAGTTCTTTTGTGAAGCATGATCATTTGTTAGCTCCAGTTAAAAGAAATTATAAAACCATATAGAACCCAACTGAAAGTTTAGAAAACAAGGGCAAAAACCTTCTCCATAAGGCTACCAGCCTGCCATTGCAAGTACAGTGACTTATATGTTAATATGTAGTTTGTACATGCTGGTCTTGATAATAAACTTGAAAGGTGAATACAGTATACACGTGCCTTTGCTTACTCCACCAATAGTACAGATTATCATGTTAATGACTCCCTATTATTTCATCAAATTGATGCTGAGTATTGTTGAATTTTACTTTCAATTTCCCCCTATTTGAAATAATGCTTCAATGAACTCTTCTCTTTTTCCACAGAGCGCTTCTCTTTATTTGTCTAATTTCCTTAGGATAAATTCCCAGAAGGAGAATCAGTGGGTCTCAGGGTAAGAACATTTTTGTGGTTTGTGATACATATTTTCCAATTTACTTTCCATAAAGGATGTTCTGATTTACATTGCCTCCAGCAAAGTTTGTCCGTTTAGCCACTTCAAGGAAACCTCACCGGCATTAGGTATTATTGTTTATTATTTTGTTTGCTGCTAGATAGACAGTTATTCCTTATTCTTCTAAAATAAAATAAAATGATTGATTTGTGGATTCAAAGATGTATATATATAGTATATGTATCAATAGATTCATATTCTCTCTTTAACGTTATTTGATATTTGGGGAGGTATTGAGTCAGGTGAGTCTTTTGCTACAAAATGCAAGAATGCCATTCTTGTGTGCTTGTGAAAGGCAAGTATATTCTCTTCCATGCCAGACAGTGATAATTGTAATAAATTGGGGCTGCCGCCAAAGTCGAAATAAACAAACTGTCACAGCAGACAATGGAAGCTCAATCCTGACCCTGATGAATGAAGTTGCTAATGTGACTTCCTGGAGTGGCTGTCAGCCAACGGCCTCCCCTGTGACTTACATTAGGTCCTAGTGACAGTGGTAAGTGATGTGAGGAGGTAAAAAAGGTGCTTATGGGGCTGAGGAGGGGGTGCTATTTGGGGTGAGTGCGCAGTCTGGTTTCCACAGCCAGCAGAAAACGACTGATCTGGAAGAACTTCACAGAGAAAGTTTGCAGGGTGTTCATGAAAAGATAGAAACTGAGAGTATTTGAGGTAGGGGCATGTGGTGGTGAGGTTAGCCATTTCAAACAGAGGCTCATAACCCAGCCCAGAACTGAGCACCTCTGTTGGGTCTGGCAGAGTGTCATGAACAGCCAGATGCAGGTTCCGATCTTGGGGCTGCCACTGAGACTTGTGGAAGATGTCACTGTGGATTGAGGGACAACTGAGAACTCGGTAACACGTCCTGCCCCATTTGCTTCTCCTGGTTCCAAGGCTGAGCCTGAGTCCAGCTGGCTCCAGGCTTCTCAGATTTCTGTCCTCAGAACTCCAACACTTGTCTGTACACTGGATGGGTAGCGAGTAAAATCTGCCTGTGTCCACCCCTCTTGTGTCACTGAAGACATGCTGATTCTCTTATTAGAGTGGAAGCTTGCTCAGACTTAAAAGGTGAAGCCTCAATGCTCATTCATCCTTGCAGCACCAGTGCTAACTCCCTTTTCTTCCAGGAAGCTTTCCTTGATCTCACCAGTTAGCTAATGACCACCTCCTTTGCCCTCCTCTGTGGAAGCTTTTATGGCTGTTCTTATTGCATCAGGATCGTAATTGATCTTCATTCCCAGACGCCGGACTCTGCAGCCACATCTGTGTTTCCCTTACTTCTTGCTCCTGTAAGATAACCTCATTCCTAGCTGTAGCCTTGGCCCTTTGCAGGCTGTCAAGGAATGGTAAGCTAATGAATGAGTGATAACATAAGCCCTCCACCATTTATAGAGCACACTTACCACACGTGATCTTATTTGGTAAACCTCATTATAAAGGTGGAGAGGCTGGATATTGTTATACCCATTTTACAGAAGGGATCAATGATACCAGCTGGCCCTCACTGAGAGTCTCAATGCAGCAGGCTCGGGGCTCAGCACTTTACAAGCATTGTCCCATGTCATCTCCCCAACAACCAAGGAGGTAGGTACCATCATCATCCTCATTCCGCTAAGAGGGGACTGAGACTTGCTGAAGATAAGTCACTTGCTGGGGCTGAATTTCTAGGAAGGGACAGATCTGGAATCTGACCCCGGTTCTGTGTGTTACCAAAGTTTCCACTCTGCTGCGCTGCCCCTCGTGACGATATCACCTCCACTGTCTCCACCTCTGGCCCTTGAGTTCTTAGAAACAGTGTCTTATTTGTCCGTTCACTTCCAGTGCCAGGTACGAGGCTGGGCATAGGTAGGCATCCATAAATGCTGATGAAATGGAAGGATAGATGAATGGATGAATGGATAGTTGGTGTCTGCTTCAGCTCTGTTGCAAGTGGAGGGAGTTTCTGCTTTCATGCAGTGCAGTCAGGGGATGGGAACTGGGATTAACTTGGGGCTGATCTTGTACCTGAGTTGTTCTGGTCATAAAACATGAGGGTGTGTCTTCCTGGGGACATGGTGAGCCATGTACCTGCTTTCCAATGCATCAGATATGTCTTGCCAATCTCTGACGGCAAAATGAAATGTCCTGGGAGAACAAACAGCTGCCTCCCTCCTGTGCCAGGAGAGCAGGATCATTTTGCTCTGTCTACACACGCATTCCTGTCTTCTCCCTGCTGATGGCCTTGGGAGATAATGTGTTCCATGTGTGTCCCTGAGCGTTGTGACAGCTGTCGTGAATTTAGTGGGAGCTGCAATGGCCCGTGTGTCTGGGTGAAGTGGGTTCCATGTCTTTCCAGGTTGCAGACTCTTGAGGGAAGCAGGATCCCATATCCCAGGGCTGTAATGTCAGACAGGGCCTGCCAGGGTCAGTCTTTGCCTCTCTACCTAGCTCTGGGCAGAGCCTGAATGGCTGGTCAGCAGACTCCAGCCATGGAAGGTAGAGCTGGAATTAGTCCTTCTGCTCTAAGAACGGAGTGTGGGGCCTACCTGGCTGGACATGGAGCTTACTTTTTGATGTGCACCCAAGGTTCCAGTGCAAAACACAGGGCGCCGGTTTTCACATGTATCTTATCTGGTTTCCCCATCAGAGCACTCAGCTTTGTTGATGAGACCGTGGATTCCAAGATAGGCAATGATAGAAATGAGCAGAACTGACATTTATTGTGCATTTGCTCCCTGTCAAGCATTTTACACGGAATTTCTCTTCTAAGCTGTTGATATCTCAAAGTGCTTAACAGCATGGATATCAGAGTTAGCAGGACTTGGGTTTAGATTATGACTTTTCTGCTCTGAGCTGTGTGACCCTGGGCAAGTCACCTATCTGAGTGCCTGTCTCCTCACCCTGAAGCATGTTCTGACTAGTGACAGCCCTCGTACCTCGCAGGTTGACAGAGAGCCTGCATGTGTGTGTTTCTTTCAGGACAGTACAGTGTTGGTGGGCAGGCATCATCATTCCACGAGGCCTGCCGCTCTGCTGTTCCCTGAGATCTCTGCTCTCCTAACCGTGAGCCCAGGCTCCTTCCTGGCCAGGGTTCTGACCTTCCTTGCCCTGTCGCCGTCAGCTCCCTCTTGCTGCAGCCTCTGGCCTGGGAGTCCTTTCTGCATTCTCTCCTCACTTGTGTCTTGGATGAGGGCTTCCTTCTTTGGTGCTGATGAGGACTCTGCCTGGGAGGGCTTCCCTCTGCTGCCTGCTCCATTCCCTGCCTGCTCCGTTCCCCTCCTGCTCCCTTCCTGTGTGCTGTCTCCTTCATGAGACTCTGGGTGTGTGAAGGGGTGAGAAATTCGTGTGAGTGTCTGTGATTGTGAGGGTTGTACCCACGGCTGATATCTGGCTGTTTGTGCATGTGTATGTATGAGTCTGTGCCGGCATGGGGAGGAGCACGGATATCCACGGTGGTGAATGTGCAGGTGTGACATGCTGTGTGCCCATGAGTGAGACCAGGGATACAGGACTCTCACTTGTGGCATTAAGCCCATGTGTGTACAGCCTGCAGGCGTGTGATGTCGGAATGTGCCAGTGAGGGGCTGTGTGTGAGATACACACATGTGCATATACACACAAGCACTGTGTGAGGAAGTGTGTAGGGCGGTGAGCAAGGACATCAGCCTGTCAGGGCCCCACTCTGCGCTGCTGGGGGCTCATTCTCAGCTCTTTACGAAGTGCAGGGCAGGGGCAAGACCCTCCCTGGTGGGCCAAACCTGCCTGCTCTCTCTCTGTCCCACGTAGGCTGGACTAGAGACAGTTCTGGGATTCGCTGAGGGTGAGGCAGGCCCAGGGCCTGGGAGAGGTGGTAAGAGGAGGAGGCCTGGCCTAGGGCAGGTGGATGAAGTAAAGTAGAGACCCCTTCAACATAGCCTCTGGAGCCCTAGAGGGGACCGGAGCCTGCCTGGTCACACTTAGGTCTGAATTCAGCTCTCACATTCCCAGCCAGGCTCTCTCCAATTCTCTGTGCTGCTTCCCCAAACTGGGGTAGGAATCACAAAGGAGGTGACAAAGACTTTCTTCCCCAGCTGTATTCAGAAGACCCGGGAGGTCTCTCATCCTTATCACCAGTATCCTAATGAAGCTTCAAGAAAAATGTTTGTTGAATGAATTAATGAAATGAGAGAGAATGCTTATGGTTGCTGGGGGAAGGAGAGACTATTTGAAACAAGCTCATCCTACAACATGTGGGACAGGGCATGTGGTCGTGCAGGGCGGAGTGTGCGTGCATGTGTGTGTGTGTGTAGATATGGGAGTGTGGAGGAAAGAATCAGGTAACCACTCCCTGGCTGCTCCTAGAGCTGAAGTTTCCCAGGCGGGATTACGATCTCAATGTTTCACCTTCCGGCTACTAGGAGGATGGGATGGGGGCTTTGGGGGGCTGAATGTCAGTCTGGGGTTCTGATCTTCCTGGGAGGGGGCACAAGTCCTCAGCGGAGGATTTGTACCAGCCGCTAAGCAGATAATTGCTTGTCAGATTGATTGAAGGCTTTTCAAAATGTCTTTTCCTTGGAACACCCTCCCATCCCCCCCGAGGAGTGGATTATTTGAGTTGGAACTCTTCCCCCTCAGTTTTTTTCCCCTCCTTTCTCAAAGTAGTAATTACTGCCGAGTAGCCCTCCGTGGCGTTTCCTGTCATTTGGAGGCTGAAGCCAGCGGCTGTTTCCTCTGCTGGGTGAAGGACAAGCAGGCCAGTTAGGGAAATACCCCACCCCCTAGCCTGGCCCTGAGCCCCTGGGGCCCCTAGTGGCCTCGATGGGGCTAATGGGGCCTGGCAGGTGGAAAGGAACTGGCCGACTAATCAACTGAGGTAGTCCTGGCTCTCTTCCAAATCCTGAGACTTTCTTCACCCTTTGTGTCCTTGCTCCCTTGTGTGTGTGCGCGCACACACACACGTGCATCTAACTGTGTGTGTACATGTA